CAACTTTATGTGTGCTTTCAATATCCCATGTTGATTTAAGAACTTAAAAAATCTGGGCTTAGGTTTTCAACCACCACATAAAACAGCTTGACAGCTCCAATATTTTGAATTTCATGAGCTTAGTGAGTTATTGCTATCAAGATGTCACTCTTCTCAGCAGCCCAAGGAAAGCTTATTTCATAGGGAGATGAAAAGAATTTCCATATGTTTTTGGAATTTTGAGTTTCATTGTTTCAGTGCGGTTTTTGTCCATTACAAAAAGTAAATCAAAAGATACATTTAGGATATAAAAGCAGCAATGTCTGCTTTTTTATTTCTCTGTGTTGTGAAATTTTTTTATTTTTTTTGTGGAAAAAATCTATTTGATGGAGCACATCGATTTTCAGCACAGTTTCCATTAGCAAGTTTTAAGTTGTAAAGGGTATGGAACAAAAAAAAGGCCCATTGGATAAGAGATGGAATATCATCAAGAAACCAAAAAAATAACTCACTTGCCCTCCATGTATGTTTAATACCATGAGCACCCTTAACCCTTTGAAACCTAACGTGTCGCCCGCGACACATTTCACAAGCCAACTTCAACTTACCGTAACTCTGCAACGGTTTGCGCTATCAGAAAAATTCAAACTGTCTTTGAAAGAAAATAAATTGCACTTTCAGACCTGCATAGTGTTATTACGGTAATTAACTTCCCGCCGCTCCAGGTTGGTATGAATGTTGCATGATCGCAGCTGAGGTAGCTGATGTAATTACTAACTTCATTCACCTGCCATACCCTCCTTGCTCTCTACTTATAATTCATCTTATTCACCTGCTCCCTCTTCTATATAGATGGTTTAGCCCGGCTATCAGGGCCAGATTATTAGCTATTTGTGTTTCGTTGTTTTTGAGTTTTAGTTAAGTCCCTGTCCTGACCCTTGGGGGCCTGTGTCGAGAGGGTGTTAGTGTTTGTTTCGTGTCTCTTGATTGTGTCCCGGCTCTTCTCCTCTGAGCCCCCTCTGTTCCTATTTGGGCCGGCGTGCGGGAGGAGCTCGGGTCATGGCTGTTCTCTGCTAAGCTCGTTCGGTTTCGGTATTGGCTCAGTATGTTGGAAGAGTCAGTTTTAATTCCCATGATCCTGGCTCCTGGATGGAGACAGTTTAAAGTTCTGCAGTTCTCCTGGTACCATGTCTTCTCTCTCTTCCTCTCAATCAATGGGCCCACCTGTCTCCATCTGAGCGTGTCTGTCTGAGCTTGCTGCTGGACTCATTGAATTCTGAACCTACCTGAATGCTCTGAGGATTCCTGGAACCCTGGATCTGTCTGTTCCTGTTTGGATCGGAACCCCTGACCAGGCTACGGACCCCTGGATTTCAGAATGGTCCTGTTCTGAACGGTTTCCATGACCTGGATTGTTCTCCTGCCTGCTCACTGGGGTTGCTGTATCGGGGAAACTATGGACGGCTCAGCGCCACATCTCGTTGGCAGTGCATTGGCTGATCCTGCCCCACCCGAGAGGATGAACTGAACTTTCTAACAACAGTGCCAGTGAGGGGTAATGCCCCGCCTTCTGTTTCTGTTCCTTTTTTTTTTGTCATTAAACGTTTTGAAATTTCCCACTGTGTATCGCGTTTAAACACTGGATCCATTTGTCCGATTTCGTGACAGAATGTCCATTTTCAGCTCTGGATTTAGGACTGGCCATTTCTCTTTGCTCCATTAATCCAAAAAACATTGTTTATGTGCTAATGGAAAACTATAATATGTCTTTTAAATAGACTTCCAATTTATTATCATGTTTTCACAATATTGTGGTATCTGATCCGGGTAGACTCATAATCAGTATGGATATGCCGGCTACAGCACTCATCCTGTAAATAAACTATTTACACAGCATTAATCTTGCATCAAAACCTCTGCTGCATGCATTAGCGAGGCATTTGTTGAATAAAATCACGAATGAACTTATTTTAAATGGTATTTTCTGGAGATATGAAAAGTGTGGTTAAAGAAACACACAGTCTGAAGTGTTTGTTTTGTTGTCAAGGAAATCAAGATTTTACCCATTTGTGAAACGTTTAAATCTATAAAGGCTGAGTTAGAGAAACTGCCTCTCTCCTACCATGCCTGATAAATGCTAAGTTGGTGTGATGTTTTTGTGCTGTTTATTTTTTTCCATCCTTGTCAAACATCTTTAAATTTCCTCCATTCATTCCTAAGGCATTGTTCTAGTGGTCCTCTGATTTATTCAGGCTACATTTTTTAAACTTCTTTTATGCTCTGCAAATACTGGAGTTCAAATGGCACCATGTACTTGCATAAATTCAACAATTCAGCTATACACAGCAATAGGTACATTATAGGTGTGTTTATGGTACTCCTTGTGTCCAGTTAAAAACAGACCCTACATAAAATCTCTTTATTCTGCCTCCTCCTTCTCTCTCTTTTCTTTTACTTTTCAGTTTATGTATGTTGGGTTACAGAGATGATGTTGTACAGTTGTTGGGGATTATTCCTAACATGATTAATTTGGATCAAGTGGAACCTCATAACCCAATTTAATTTAACCTTGAATGTACCTCCAGTAATTTATCAATTTTTAACATTCCCAAAATATGAGTATGGCATCCCACCAAACTGTAACACCTCTAACATTGCTCTGAAATTTGGCAATGAAAAAATTGACCACAAAATATATAATTTTGGAGCATGAGATACATTTCCTGGTAATCTTCAACTCTTGTAGCCTTAACTGGTTTTGAAGATGCCAGAATGTTGAAATATTTGGTAAAAGTTACTCCTTCTCCAAGGTCATTGTGGACTTCTGTTATTGTGTTAAAACATTCCCCTTATACAACCAACCAAAACCCCCTGCTTTTACATGCATGCTCACATTGATTGATCAATTATTCATCAGTTTTGATTCGCCTCACCTTGCTGCTATGTTCCCTGATAATGGAAGCAGCACATTTTTCCACACAGAACTTTCCTGGCTTCATTTGTGATTAATAAATATTCAAAAATATTGAATCGACTGTATTAATACCATATCATGGCTGCTACCAGACAGATCACATCAGGCCTATTATGTCCTGATGATACTGATACAATTAAAATACACAAAAGGAATGCTTTTTTTCTATTTTGGTAACATGTGAGCCTTAATCATTTTAAAAGAAGGTAAATTATCTGAATTTATTCTTTTTACAGTTTGTGAGAAACTATAATTCCTGTGTCTGTCTGTGAGTGGTGTTGAAAGCAAATTTCATTCTTTTAGCATTTTCTACATCGGGAAAATATTCTATGTGGTCAGTTGCTGTTTTTATCTACATACTTGGGGAAGACAAGGATGCATTCAAGGTTAGCAGAGATTTTATAGCCTTTCATATTGTCAATTTAGCTCAACATAGAGTTTTATTGCATCAAGTAATAAATAAGGCATCAACACTAGCAAACATTAGTTGTGTTTACATCAAGGCTAATTATGCATTAAAGTATAAAGTGAGAAAGGCTGATAAATGGCAACCTCCAAAATAATCTTTTCAGTTTTGTAAAAAGGTTGTCATGCTTGCTTGGGGTAGCTTCTCCGAAAAAGTTAAATGGGAGATAGAAAGTCATTATAAAATCGGTATAGCTACAGTCATTGCTGGATTACTGTTAGTGAACAAATTACCTGGGATTTATGCTGCCTTCACAACACTCTGCAGCGGGGCAAAGCCCAAAGGAGTTCCAATGAGTGCCATAAAAAGCAGGGATTGACAGACAAAAACAACTCCTACTATGGATTGTAGCACACACTGTAAACCCGAATAAGTTAGCAGTACTCAAAAAAAGTAAGGCAATCAGTTGCCACAATTCTTTTGAGTTCTAAAACTCATACATTTGAGTCTGACATAACTTATATATTTTGAGTTTATTTGAAATGTAAATTAAAATTAAAAGTTAATTAAATTTATCAATCAAGTCAACTCAAAATTCTTCAGTTTATTCTACTCAGAATATTTATTTATCTTTCTCATTGAAATAACTACAGCAAATTTAATAATTTCAAGTATGAAGACTCGGGATTTTAGGTTCAATGAACTTAACATTTATTAGTTTTTTCTTTCAATCTTCTCATTAAACATGACTCAAAAGCATAGACTTGTTACAACTCAAAATCATTTCACTCCAAACTTAAAATATTTGTGGCAACTGATTGCCTTAAAGATAATAAGTACTCTTGACACAAAAGTAAAAAATAATTTGGTTTTTTCTATTCTGAATTTTTTCATACACCTTTCTGTTGTATTTTAAACACAAAATATATATAAATAAAAAAAAAAACAATTAACAAGTATACTGGACATTTTGTTTATCTTTTAACATAAACCATAGTAAAAATATTCAAACTCAGAAAAGTTTAAATTACATAAGAACAGATCTTTGTCACAAATAATTTAGAAAACTTTTAAAACAACATTACCAGGGGTTTAGAGAGATTTGCTCATATGAACCAATATTTGAAAAACAACTGACAAAAGAAAAAAAAAAAAGAATTACATACAGACATAAGAAACATTTGTTAAGGCACACCTTTGGCCATCTGGTTGTAAACCTGCAGTGCAGCAATGTATAACAAATTGCTTATAAATTCTTCACAACCAAATATGCAAAAAATTCAGAACTGTATCTGGTTTATTTATAGCAACTTCAAGAAAGATTAAGAATATACTGTATATGTATAAACACTTAATACACTCCTGTATTAGTTAAAAACAAAATTTAAGTACAGGCAGCGTCAACTTTATGCCATTTGGCTGAAAACCAGTTGAGTAGAACAGAACTTTAACATTAACAATGAACAAACATGGACCTGGCGACTGTGGACTATGCTCTAACAGAGTGAGCTATCAGAATCCACCACTACTTTATGGGTCTTGAGTTACACATATAACATCAAGTCATTTTTAAGAGTCTGCAGCTTAGGTGATAGTTTAGAGTCATCAAGACCAAGCAAGATTTTATGTGTGAATTCAAAAGTGTTGGTGAGTCCCTTGGGATAGCTGAGGTGTAGAGCATAAATCAGTCCAAATATTACCAGGAAGGCATCAGCAAGCCTGGGAAGGTCAACAACCACATCCCCCTCTAGGACGACAGAAACTCTCACTGGGTGGTAGTGAACTGGACTTGCGGCATCGTCACTGACAGCTGTAAGTAGGGCCACTGATGCATCCCCCAGGTCTGGTTCATCCATACCGTCCTTAAAAAAAATGAAAGGGGGATCATATACTAAATCACATTCACAGAAACTATGGCTGAAGCGATTTTGATTACAGATGATCGTCCTATTATTAAAAATAAATACACCAGTCTAAAAGACTCCTGTTCATTTTGTTGCATTGTGCTCTTGTTTGCTGAGAATGAGAGATGACTTTTATGTGTACCACTGTTAGGCTAATGATGGCTACTTGATTTTCTTTGCAGCTGACTTTTCTAAAGCCCTACTGGGTAGGCCTGAGATCTCTCTACTGAGACTTACCACACATGATCTGAAGAATTCAGAAACTACCTCACGTAGATAAACAGGAAGGGCATGGAGAACAGTGGTCCGTCTCGTGTGGACATCATGTATTTCCTGAGAAAATAAAAATAGTGCAAATACAGTTCATTAGTTAAAGCCAATGCCAAACAGTTCCAGCTAATTACCAATTACCAAAATCTGCACACAAATCCACTATGATAGCCTGCTGACTCGTCTGATGCAATTATGGAATTCAACAGCTTATTTTAAGCAATAAACTACCAACAGTAGAGCTGTGAAATGTATAATCACCTGTACATCATGGACTTTGAAAATGTAAGCCAAAGCATCAGCAGTCTTTCCAGTTTTGGAAGCTTTCTGCCTGAATAAAGCCATCAAGCGAGGAGTGTGCCGATCAAGCTGGGCATAGAAAGTGTTTGGGAGGTTCTGGTTCTGGTTCTGAATGACCGCGCGCACTGATACGAACAGAGAGAAAATAGGACCAATTGATAACGACGTGTGACTTTTTCCACTACAATGTTTTTGGGATGCGAAAATATCACTCTTTTGAACACATAATGTTTTGGGAAGAGAAAAGTTTCATTTCGCTGTTCCTAAAAACCTGCAGGACTACTTTCGGCTTGACCAAAACTGGACGATAACTCTGCTCACAGGACGCTGACAGGGGTAAGTCAGTGTGATTGCATGCCGCTGGTGATGGGGATGCCATACAGATTCATGTCAAAAATACCGAACTATCCCTTTAAGAGATATTAAAGATTATTTTTTAGGTCATCCAGAGGTCACCATCCCCCCATTAAACTCCAATTTGAACAAAAGTGGTCTCCTTTTTTAGTGCTTCGTTTGTGCTGATTTGTGCAGTTAAAACGATCATTTTATGCTATTTTAGTTTTTAAGATATAATAATATAGTGGTATTCACATTGTTGACCCTTATTTTCCGCACATTGAGCAGGAAACTGGTTTAAAAAAATAACTGAGATGCGCCAGAAGGATGATGTTAGAAGTGCACAGCACGTAGGCAATTGAGTGTCATTTCAATTAACCAACTTCTTTATGCTTAAATAAAATGCATCAAGCTTTAATTTGTAACTTATGGCATTAAATGTTAGAGTTATTAAAACGGCATTGACCGTTTGGCAAATTTGAAGTCCTCACACGACTTTACAGGGAGTGTGTGTAACTGATGACTTACATATCAGTTACACACTTGAAACATCCACTAACATGCATAGGTGACTCAAACTAACTTAGACGAGACTCCTTTGCTGCTGACTTGTTCACTTCCGCAGCTCTCTAATAGGGGGATGGCGACGTCACCGGCCTAAATTTTTATTTATTATATCTTAAAAAGTAAAGCAGCACAAATGTTGGTTTTAACGGCACAAATCAGCACAAACGAAGCACTAAAAAATGAGACCACTTTGGATCAAATCGGAGCTTGATGGGGGGATGGTGATGTCATCAGCCAAAAATTTTAATGATTATATCTTAAAAACTAAAATAGCACAAATTTAAAAGCACTAAAAAGGAGACCACTTTGGTTCAAATTGGAGTTTAATGGGGGATGGTGACCTCTGGATGACCTAAAAAATAATCTTTAATATCTCTTAAACAAAAGTAGCACAAACAATATTTTTTTCTGCACAAATCTGCACTAACGTTGCACTAACAATTCAGTCTATTTGCAGAGTTTTTTGACTTGGGTGGGGTGTCAGCTTCACACAGCTTGTTTAGAGAGGGTTTTTCAGAGTTGAGCGCGCGCCAGACCGGTTTTGCGCGCGCTCGGATTGGTTCCTGCGCGCTCAAATTGATGGCACAGATATCTCTATATATAAGGCCTCCATACATGGGTCGTTCGCGCTAACCATTACTTCAATGTTACATAAAGTTGGGCTAGTATCATTCATAAATTATTTTCCTACCAATCAACAAAAAAATTTTTTTTTTTTAAATCAGCTAAATTAACTTTCAGACAATAACTTCAATCTCTAGCTTTCCAAAAAGTTCAAAAAACAAAACGGGACTTTTTTTCCGAAGTTAAATTTCTAGCTAAATGCACAGCACATGGTGCTTTAGTTAGCTTCTGTCGTGATACCTCACTATCCACCACTGCAACTTAGGCATCACCAGGTTTTACAGCTACCTGCCTAGCCACGTAGCCTTTACAGCTAACTGGCAGGGTGACTTTTCATGTTAGCTTGCTAACCGTCTAACGGTTAGCCACGCAAAACGGCTAACGTAACTTACCTTGTCGGTTTTAACAACACGTTTAACCCCAAGGAACAAACATTCAAGCAACTTCTTGGATACTTACATTCACAACTTAGTGTACTCTTGTCGTTAAGTCTCCCGCTCCTTTCTTTGGCTCGTCGGCTCCGGTCTACTGAACGCACGCAAATACTACAAAATAAAAGCACTTCCGGTGAAAGCATACTTATTTAGTGTGTGCGTGCGCGAGAGAGAGAGAAGGAGAGAGAGAGAGAGAGAGAGAGAGAGAATTTATACATTTACAAATATAAATCTCTGAATTTAATTGAGTTCAGTTCTTTAACAAAAACAAAATCCATGTTTAATCCACATATTTTAAGTAACTCTGAGTTAATTATTTTAAGTAGCAGTTAATTAACCTGCAAAAAGTTAATGTTAATCAAAAATTACAAGTTTAAATAACTTAAAAAGAGGGAACAAGCTATTGGCACTCAACATTTTTAAGTAAGTAGAACTTCTAAGATGATTTTAAGTTCATTGTACTTATTCTAATTAATTATTTTGAGCATTCGGGTTTACAGTGCAGTTAAAACTGCTTCACTTTTTGTTATTTGGACCCATATATTTTTCCATCGGATCTCATTGTGTTTAGGCCTTAATTCACATTTTTCTTTGTTGCCACATTTTCAATATCCACTCAAAGTTCCGATTATAGTTACGTAGATGGAAACATAGCAACTGGTAAACACATTACTACACCTGGTTAAAAGCGTCATATGCTGACTGTAGTAAAAGCTACACTGAATCATTTGGGAAATCTGTGGGACATGCTTCCTGGGAAATATGCTGGTCTCTATCTGTTCCACCATGTGTTCATCAAAGTGACAGGATGCTTTTGTGTTACACACCCAGATAACTGTTGTTAATATACATAGGCTTGTGTTGTCTTTTTGGGACCGGATATTAGAGGAATTTTACAGCACTAATAATCAGTCACTGCTGAAATGCATTTTGTTGCCCTAATGTAATGTGTTAGTCTGTGTTGTGGCGTGCTGCCGCACCTAAATGCAATACTGCAGTTATTAATGGGCTCCATTATGGAGGGTAATGTGAAACAAGAGATAAGGAGATCAAAAAAATTGAGGGAGAGGACTAAATTACATTTTAGCATCATATGAATGTAAAGACATCATTTGTTTTATATTGCTCCTTTGTCTCCTCAACCACCTTCTTTTATTACATCCCGCCCCCTTTCTCTCTTTCCCTCTACCCGTGTCACCCTCAGGCGGTGTTTCACATTACTACGAACATCAGTCACAGGGGCCCTGGATAAATGCACCTCATACCTCTTCTGAAGACACTGCCGTTTATTAGTACATATATACACACAGGGCATGTGGAGATCAGTCATGCATGATGACAGATCCAAATAGCTGCAACTTGTCTATGCACTTGCAAAAAAAAACTATACACATGCACACAGACACCAATCATGGTGGCATGTAGAAATAAACCCAGACAAAAGCACACACAGAACTAGAGAGCCCAATACGGAGCCGAGTAATGTTGACAGCGACCCTGCTATTTTTAAAGGGCACACTTCACAAGATATCATCTCCTCATTGTTTGTCCCCAGGGATAATTTTCTGTTTACACAACACACACACATACACAAAAATGGTAGGCACACTCATCTAGGCGAGCATGATATAGTCAGAGTAAAGTCATCACACACACGAACACATTAGAGTTTTATGTCCTTACGTTAATCACTGGAGTCGGGTCAAAACGATGGTCAGAATAAGACTGGGATGATATTTTTTTAACCTAAACACTGAGTGGAGAGTTGGTTCCTTTGTTTGAAAAGTGTCATGATGGGTTCTAAGTTTAAGCCCAATATGCAGAACACACACGGGAAAACTGGGTAAAAGTTCAAAGAGTTTATTAAAGTTCTGAACACAAGGTTAAAGCACTGGGACTGGAATTGGTCAGGGGCTGGTTCACTGGAGTCTTGACTGGGACTGGAGACTGTTGGTTAGCAGAGTTCATGAGAGGCTAAGCTTCTAGCTTCAGGCTTAGCGTGGCAGTCCTGGATTTGAGCTTCCAGCTCACTGCAGAGAACAACAGGGGAAAACACGAAGGACTCTAGAAACTGATTCCACGTAGGAACCTCCAGGGAAACTCCACACAGAAGTCTTCAGGTTTCAACCACGTAGGAATCTTCGGGTTAGGGAACAACAGGGGAAAATCCACAGGGGAACCTCTAGGGAAACTCCACATAGAAGTCATCAGGTTTCAACCACTTAGGAATCTTGGGTTGGCTCACCAGGGCAGATAGCAGGTTAGGTCTCCTAGAGCTTCAGGCTTGAAACTGGTTTCCTGTGATGCAACTCTCCAAGAGCTGCAGGCCAAAGTCAGGTTGCCAGAGAGACAGCTCTTCCAGAGCTTCACGAAGAGACAGGAGGTTAAGCTCATCCAGAGCTTTCACGAAGAGACAGGTTTCCTGTGAGGCAGAAACAACGAAGAGTTAGAATCTGATCTCACACTAGAGATAACAAAGATTCTTCTGTAACAGAGGCTCAGGAAGCTAACCAACTAAGATCAACACTGCGGCGTTGAGGCAAGGTCTGAAGTCAGCTTACCGTAAATCCTCTAATATAGGCCCGGGCCTTTATTTCACTCAAGTGCATCGCGGTCCAGGCCTTTATTGGAAAGAGGCCAGAATTAGAGACAGGCCTCTATTGCTATTTGAGCAAAACAGACTACCAGTGGAATGAATAAAAATGAGATTTTGTGTCTATTTGAACCTATAAAACACTAGGTTCCTTTATTGAAAAAGTACAGTTACCATGTCTCGCTTGGTTTGAAGTAAAAAAAAAAAAAAAAAAAATCCTCCAATTCTGTTTAATTCTCCTCCTCAGTTTCCTCCTCCTCTTCATCTCTCCCTTTAATCTCCTCATCACTCGCGCCAGTCTCTATAACAAGTTCATTATTGTACAGTTACTCTTCGTCCTCCTCATGTTCTGCTGCATGTCTGTTCTCTTCCTCGCGCAGACGGGCAGCAGTCAGGGCCTGTCGTCCAGCAGTGCAGGGCTGTGGTACTTGTATGTTACTACCACAAGTATAATGTTGAGGTATGCCCAGAAAAAACGTTTATAGCCCCGGCCTGTATGAGAGACCGGCCATTATTTACCTCCTCTGACAGCGAGACCGGCCAATGTTAGAGTCCCGGCCGCTAATGGAATACAGGCCAATATTAGAGAATTTACGGTATATAGGAGAGGTCTTCTGATGAGAGGATTAGCAACAGGTGTGCAGGAAGGTTCCAGCTCCAGAAGACCCACGGCGCACTCTGCTGGAGACAGAGGGTAGTCTCCAGATCCCCACAGTAACTCCAACCCTAAGGAAAAACACAGAGCAGAAGAGGATCCTCGGCGCCCTCTGGAGGGCAAGCCTGAGGATCCTAACAAAAAGAATCATTTTTTTAACATCACATCATACAGTATGTTTGGCATATAGTTACACACATAAAAAAAAAAAATATTTGCACTTTTCTTCTTTTTGTTTTAAGTTCGCCACAGTTAAATGACTTTATGTCACCAAATACATTTCAATATTTGACCATAAAAGCAGTGCTATATAAAAAACCAAATTTTAAAGCAACTATGTAATGCACAATTTACATTTATTAGCTTTAAACCATGGTATGATGCCATCTCTTGGTATTTTGCTTTATTTATGTGTGTCTAAGTAAACCATATGAGTTCTACGTAGGCACGTGATTGTCCACCTCTACCAGGAAGCACTTACGTTGACCAAGATGCGCCAGCCCACTAAACAATACGCCCACTTTCTCATAACAGTATGTAGGGATGTAAGGCAGTATGGGCTGGATCTATCAAAGGTTTGCGTGTATAAAAACGTGAGCTATTTCACTGCGCACGCTAAAAAATGTACAAACTGATCTATCAACAGCGTGCTAAAAGGATTTGGTCTTTAAAATGTGCTAAATAGTGCCTGTTATCCATTTAGTACTTTTTCTGCAATGAATATGCAATATGGGGCGTTTACACGCAAAAGTGCGTCTTGTGGGAGGAGAACATGTAAATATATTAATTTAGCACTCGCAAAGAGATTTATCAAACCTGAAAGCAATTTTGCTAACGCTATCTGACTCTATATTTAACACGTTTCAAAAGAAGGTGCAAATGGTCTGTATGCGTAATTGCGCACACACGGCAGCGGTTATTGTCGCAAGAAGGAGACATCGAAATGAAGCAAGGAGACGCAGAGAACGCATTTTTTCACTCCGTGTGAATATTTTTGGAATGAACGAGGAAACGATCAAAACATATCCTTTATCCAGCATTGCCATTTTGGAGCTGCAATTCCAGTGATTTGCTCCTCACAGAGCGTCAGCTGTACTTGTTCCTCAATGCTGGTCAGAGGCATCTCATCTACTGTGCCCCCTCCTGTTTTGTTCGCAGATGTTTTGTTATATGCCAGTTTTTCTTTGGTTCGCCTTCTAATATCCTGGTATCTTCTTTTTACTTCATCCACTGTTCGCAAGGTTTCACCAACAGCGTTTACTTTATTACAGATTTGTTCACATATAACGTTCCTCTGTGTGACAGTCACACTTCTTTGCTGTAGCTCACTTAAATGTTTGTTGGAATTCATCCACCAACACCTCCATTTCCATGGGGTCGGATTTCCTTTTGCGCTTTCTGCTGTCCAAACTCGCCATGCCGCAAACCACCAAACGCGCAAAACCATCATTTAAATAGGGCGTCTCCAACAGTTTTGCACCTGCCACCAGTTACGCAATCGCTCTTGTTAAATCACCCGCAAACCATGGTTCAGCCCCTCGCGCAAAATTCCAGTTTGCGAGCGCAAATTACTGCACGCAAAATTGGATCTTGATAAATCCGGCCCTATGTAGTCATTTCCAATGTTCCCAACCTAGCAACTCAGTCGCTATATTTAGCAAGTATTCAGACCCCCTTTTTTTTGTAAAGAAACAAATATAACAAAATTTTTTGGTTTTGTTGGAGACTTTGCAACATTATGTGAGCGCTTTGATAACTCTGTCTTTACTGCTTCAGTGAGCAGCAGGTGCTGTTGTGAGACCCTCTCACCTTCAAAGCAATGACTGCTGGTCAGTCTTAGCAGCTCTGTTGTGCAGCAGACAGTG